CCCCCCCCCCCACCTTCTAAAGGAAACATGAAAGCTCACTAGTGCTGCTCCTTTTTCTTTCTTTTTTTTCTTTTTTTTCTTTTTTTTCTTAAACTCATTTGTGTTCTAGCCGGTCCAGCAAGCGGCTGAATGATGCACTCTCAAAACCACATATTTTGTACGTATGTTGGGGGAGGAGGGGGGCTTTAACAAAGTGTGATGTTCACAGGGTTAAGTTTTTGCGGCAGAATTATGAGCTTCGGTGTTCTATGGTCATCAATTATGCGGTCTTGGAGACGGGAAAGTGGGCGTCTTGGCCCTTCTTCCATGGCATTTTTTTTCAGTACGCTATGTACAAAAGACTTTCTTTTTCTTTTCCTTTTCTTTTTCTTTTTCTTTTTTGTTTTTATCGTACACAAAGTTCAATGTTGATAATGCCACTCGGGTGCATCTGTTACAAACTTATAATATACATCCGCATCCGTAACGGCGTTTCATAACTTTCCTTTTCACCTTTCCATCTGCTTGTGCTTCTCCCTTTCTATCCTCTGATGCTTCTTCTATTTTATCTTCCATGTTGATGTGCTTCTCCCACTTTTCCGTCTACCATCTCGACTTCCTGTTTCGGTCTAACGTCCACTCTCTTTCCCTGTTCCTCTCCTCTGTAGCCACCCCTCCCCAGCCAATTGGTGTTTTTTTTTTTGTTTTTGGTAGTTGGGAACTCCTTTCATCCTTCTCCCTGATAAGTGCCCAGCCTGCGTTAAACGACATGTGAACAGTGCGTTGTTTGTTGCACATGAAAAACACGTGGAGACCGTAAACGTTATCGAGAAAGAGTAGGACTTCTTTTGTTCTTTTTTATTTTAAACAGGGCCTTATGGTCCTGTCTCCATATCCGTTCTGGGGAGCATTAGTCCGGTTCCCTTTCCACCGGCAAGTCAAGAGAATACAGCAACATTACGCACACACGCTTCCCTCCATCCGGTCGAGAGTAGTCCCTATTTTTTTAATCTCACCGTTTTTTTTTTCCCCTTTTTCTTTTCTTCCCTGTTTATGTTTGTTCTCCTTGCGCAAGGGTCATGCTAATCTTCTCTGTCTCGTTCGAATTTTAATGGATGTCCCGGAGGACCATGGCCGGGTTTTCAGTTTAGAACATGCCGAAGATTCAGGTTTCATCAGAATTTTGAAATGTGTTCTCTTCTTCTATGTTTTGTTTTGCTCTTTTTTTTTTCTTTTGTTTTTTAAACAACAACAAACAACTAATCTTTAGTGCTTTTTTCACTGACGGAAGAATTGGCCGTACTGCTTTTTTCTCTTCAACTCCGCCTCCTCTCACTCGTGCAACTTTTTTTGTGTTTGGTCGGTTTTGCGCCTTCCGTCTGGTATATTGCTTGCTTGCAGCCAGTTTCCTTTCCAGTTGTGGTGTTGTACCCGGCGTACAGGAAGCACACTCCTGTCATTTACAATGGTCTTCGGAGTGTTTACGGCCTTCTTGAATTTCTCGAAAGTTACGCCGTCAGGTCAAACGATGAGTCAAACACTGTTGATGAGCCTAAATTTTCCTCGAATTTCTAATCGGAATACGTGTTGTTCTTTCATGAGGATTGTGGCCAATGATGACCACTTGGTGTTTTTGTTTGCATTGCTTTTCACAGACTTTCTTACTTCAGCCTCTTTTCCTTGGTTGGTATTTTCGTGTTCGTGCAAATGGTTGTCCGTCACTGTTAACCGTGCCCCTCAGTGGCTGTTTAATCTGACCAAGTTGAAGAAACACTTTGGGCACTGCATAACAAAGCCTCTTTCTGTGTCTCTAACCGGCTGCGTGACTAGCACTTGCGTTCCCCTCCCATTATGAGTGTGCTTCTTGTCCTTTGGCTAGCTCTGTGTGTGTGTGTGTGTGTGTGTGTGTGTGTGCGAGAGAGAGAGAGAGAGAGAGAGAGAGAGAGAGAGAGAGAGAGAGAGAGAGAGAGAGGTTCCCCTCCACTTATGAGTGTACTTCTTGTCCTTTGGCTAGCTCTCTGTGTGTGTGTGTGTGTGTGTGTGTGTGTGTGTGTGTGTGTGTGTGTGAGAGAGAGAGAGAGAGAGAGAGAGAGAGAGAGAGAGAGAGAG